AGTTCTGTTTAGAAATTTAGCAGTATTTTTCCAGTTTATGTTTTTGCTTGACTTCCTAAGAGTGAAAGGAAGTTTTATGTATTTATATTATATATAACAGTATGTAAATTTGGGAAACTTTAGCACAGATCAAAAATGGTCACTAGGCTAAAAATATACTCCAATGTTGTAAACAATCTTAGAGACCATTGTGTGTGCGTGTGCAGTATATGTTTGTGTGCATGTATCTATTTTTGTGTGAATGGGATATTCCATATTTGTTTTATATAAAATTAGTTTTATGCCAATAGGCAAATTCTGCATTTGTTAACAACAGAAAATTAAGCAACATGCATATAGAACTTAAATAAAAGTTGATCAGGAGGCAGGAAGCAGAGTCAGGCTCATGATTTGGGATTTAGGAGTCGTCACATTTTCGTATTGAGTTACAAAGGATGAGCTTACTTGATTTGCTGATTGCTGGTACTCTCGTGGTTTATAGGTTTTGCTTGTGATTTTAACCTTGAGATCATGAGAGCCTATCAGTGAATGCTCCACTAGTAGTCAGATAGGAACACTGGCTACACCTAGAGGCAAAGTGCTTCAGGTGGCTTTTTTCGGAAGAACCTCTGAACAATGAGAATTGAGAGAGAAATGGTTAGGGAGAAGGGAATTTCACTGAATTTCACTGAATTTCTAGAGTTGGAAGGGACCATAGAGGTCATCTAGTCCAACTCCCCTGCTGAAGCAGGATTGCCTAGAGCTAGAGCATGTTACTCAGGACTGCATCCAGGCGGGTTTTGAAAATCTCCAAAGAAGGGGACTCCACAACCTCCCTGGGCAGCCTGTTCCAGGGCTCTGTCACCCTCACCGTGAAGAAGTTTTTCCTCATATTTGAGTGGAACCTCTTATGTTCCAACTTGTGCCCGTTGCCCCTCGTCCTCTCACTGGGAACCACTGAAAAGAGTCTGGCTCCCTCCTCCTTCAACCCTCCCTTGAGATACTTGTAGGCGTTGATAAGGTCTCCCCTCAGCCTTCTCTTCTCCAGACTAAAGAGTCCCAGCTCTCTCAGTCTCTCCTCATAAGGGAGATGCTCCAATCCCTGAATCATCTTTGTAGCCCTTCGCTGGACTCTTTCTAGTAGTTCCCTGTCCCTCTTGAACTGGGGAGCCCAGAACTGGACACAGTACTCCAGTTGTGGCCTCACCAGTGCAGAGTAGAGGGGGAGAATGACTTCCCTTGACCTGCTGGCTACACTCTTCCCTATACAACCCAAGATACCATTGGCCTTCCTGGCCGCAAGAGCACACTGTTTACTCATTGTCATTTTACTGTCCACCAGGACCCCTAGATCTTTCTCTTCAGTAGTTGCCTCTAGCGGGTCCACCCCTAACCTATACTGGTACCTGACATTTTTCTTCCCCAGGTGCAGGACCCTACACTTTTCCCTGTTGAACCTCATGAGGTTCTTCTTTGCCCAGCCCTCCAGCCTGTCCAAGTCTCGCTGGATGGCAGCACAGCCCTCCGGGGTGTCAGCCACCCCTCCCAGTTTGGTATCATCAGCAAACTTGCTGAGGATACACTCTGTCCCCTCGTCCAGGTCACTGATGAATATATTAAACAGCACGGGTCCAAGTATTGACCCCTGGGGGACTCCACTGGTTACAGGCTTCCAACTTGAACCTGCTCCATTAATCATTACCCTTTGAGTCCTGTCGCACAGACAGTTCTCAATCCACCTCACTGTTCCCTCATCCAGCCCATACTGCCTCAGTTTCCCAATGAGGGTGTTATGGGAGACAGTGTCAAAAGTGTCAAAAGAATGGGAGTCTGAAAAAGGAAGAGGGACAGCAATCAGATATAGGTATTGTATTTGGTCGCCACATTGTGGTGCAAGGTTATCATTCCTCTGCAGAGTTGTAAGATACCCCTGTTTTTCCTTGCACGGTTTGAATTCTTTGTATTTCTTAAGTGCAGTGCTATTTGCCTGGTGAACATTCTACATGAGCGGCTACATGAACTTCTCAGCTACACACAGGAGCATGCTGGAAAAAATGTATAAAGCCCAAATACTTTCTCCATCTTCTTCCAAACTCATGGGCATTTCCACAGACATTGTGATTTTTTTCCATGCTGGCACTGTAGGTTCTAAATATAAGGGTATTCATTTTAAACCTCATTCTTTCATGACTGACCTTGAGAAAATAAGGGAAATTTTCTACAATTCTTAACAACTTTTGAATTCTTACTAAGTACTGCTTAATCATGAAATTGTTTTATCTATATCATAACATGGCAGGATGTATTTTAAAGGTGATGTGTCTAAAGGTTCCTGCGTTTTCCCATATGTTAGGGGAATTAGTCAAACATGTTAATAGAGAATATATCTGTTTTATAGTAAGCCTAGCAATGATATTAGATCAGCTGCTGAGTTTCTATATGGCGTTTTAAGTCCATTTTCAGTACAGGTGATTTAATTGCACTTCCATTATATGGTTATTTGAGAAACAGGAATATTTATGCTTATTGTATCTATCTATCATAAATGTTTTTAAGTTATATAAACAAATGTCCTCTTACTTCATAAGGAAGGTGCTTTGTAAAGCTGCCCATTTCTATTACTGTTCATTGTCTGTGGATAAAGAATAAAGGATCTGATAGTGTCTTCCATTAAAAGTGAAAACCTCCTATTGACTTCACTGCCAGGTTGGGTCCTTAAGCAGTCTAAAATAGAGCTGACTTTTGAAAATGTACTGCTGTTCTCTGCAAATTGTTCATCTTTTGTTGACTGCTACAAAGATTCCGCTTCCTACAGCTGTATTTTTAATTGAGAATATGTTTTAATAAATATTTTATTTTAAAAGGTATATGGAGACCTAACATAGTAAAATAAAATACAAGTTACTGGCTGTGGGTTATCTTGATGTTTATGCACAGCACTCATTAGCAAGTACGCATTCAGGATAGCCAAAGTGCTGGTATATATGCAGAGTAATTCTCCTACAGAGGTAACTGGACAGCTTTAGTGCTGTAAATGTCTGTTGTGTTTATTCAATATGTTTGGGAGAATTATATGCAGCCATAGCCAGTAGTAGCTCTGGCTATCCTGTACTTGATGAAGGTTTTCTTTTGAGATGGTTTACCAGGTCTTCAGTTTCGCCAAGCTCCATTTCAGAGGTTCCTTCTTTCTCTCCTGAATTCCCATAAGCATTTCGGTTGCTTTTCATGCATCAAAGAAGAATAAGAAGTCTTTAAAGCCTTTCTCAATTTCTTCTTTATCTCTCTTCAGTGCACAAAGACTGTAAAGAGCCAAGAGAATGTGGAAAGGCTTCTGAGTGGAAGCACTCTGAGCGGTGGGAAAGTTATCATCTACTCTGCCAAAAAAAGCGAGGAATGTAAAAAAGTAGGGGAGAGAAGCAGGAAAATGTAAAGATAGGGGAGAAAGTAGCGGTAGAGGATACAAACCAGAGGCTTGCAAAAGAAAACTAGTGATGGAAAAAGAAAGCCAGAGGGACACCAGATAAGAATCACTGCGAGACAGTGAGCGATTCTACCATCTCTTCTTTGTCCCAGCAGTTCTGACAGAAAATAGACAATAAAAATTGGAAAGGGGTGTGCAGAAGGAATGAATTTTTACAGTTGCATGTGATACATGTGTCTGCTTTCAAGTTAAACTCTTATTTTTCTCAACAGTCACAGTAAGCTTGCAGAAGTGACGCCACGCATTTCAGTCTTAGTCAAGCATTTTGAAAATTTCGGTATTCATTTATATAGGTTTATCTCACACAATTGTTTTCTTGTGTATCTAATAAGGATTTTACAGACTGATTTGGAATAAAAAGATTAGACTAAGAAAACCAAAGCAGAAACAAAATCCTCTGAAATCTTATAAATATTTGCTGATTTCACTTAGACCAAAAGAAGGGTTTCATGCAAACTTCAAGAGCTGAGATAGTGCTTGTGCTTTCAGATGCATTATATTCTACAATATAAGTAATGTTTTGTAATTATGCACTGTGGAGGATTAATATGCTTCATAATGTGCTTTACTCACAAGGGAGCAATGCTTTCTATCCTACAGGACAGAAAAAATAAGAATGTGCCACTTTTCCTGTCTGTTTCCTGTTTAAAAAAATAAAAATCTTTGATTGCTGTGAGAACAGATGCGTATAAGATGTTCATGTCCCTAGTAAAGAAAAAATTAGTTTATATTTGTAAATTAGGTGAAAATACGTTATGGCAGAATGTTCTCTTCAAGTTTTTCTAAATCAACAGTTACTGGATAGGTGAGCTTATTGTTTCTCACGTTCCCTCTCCATCACACATATCTCACTTAAATATATGCTCCTCACTTGGGTGGAAAAAATGTTGAGAGAGACGTGCTTACATCTTTAACATAGTAATTGTTCAGTTAATCTCATTTATGGGAGAAGGAGGCTATACTTCACTGATACCGATTAAATATCCTATACTGGGTTCTATATAAATAGCTACAAATGTGCACAATGGTTACATTACATGGTATATTTAACAACATAGCTAAATCAGAAAGTATGAGCTATGCCTTTAGTGATGGGAGTACTAATGATTGCATGCAAGAAGATTTTTGTTCTGCAACCATGAAGGAAATAATTGCTCTTCAGCACTATTCAGTTAAGTTTGCATATCAGTAAAAACACATGCACAGAGGCTCCACCTACATTCCTAGTGCCCTAGCACTGATATGAGTGCAGCATATATTAAAGCTTTAGAAGATGTTACAGTATTCACAACTTGCAAAGTGCGTGTAATTTTTAATGGAGTTATTTTGACCACTGTCAAATGAAATTGCAATGGTGAAGTTCAAGATTTATCATGTTTTTGTTGTTTTTGTTTTTAAACATAAGGTACCTTAGGTAGCATTTTACAGATTTATGGGAGGACTACTTCTACTGAGGTTTTAAATTTTGTGGTTTTTTTCCTGTTTTCAATTCGTTGCAGATGTAAATATATAAAGCAAATGCTTCTTTTTTGTATTTTAGATGGAAGACTTTATTTGAAAACTACTGTCATGTATTAAATTTTTCCTGCTGAAGATACCTGTGCTACGGTAAAGAACTTTGCAGTAAGACATTGGCTCATAAGGAGTTCCGTGGAAACAAAGCGTTTTGAAGCCAACTTCCTCAACTTCATTTATCAATGTTCTTCAAAAATGTAAAGAATTCTGCAAGAGTGTCCTCCTTTGGTTATCTCCTGTGGCTCAACCTGGAGACCTAGAGAATGTTTGTAAATGTACAGTAGCACTCTTCTTACAGTGAAAATCTGCGTCTCTGCGCCGGACTATTGTATCCAAAATTACAGGCGGGTCAGAACAAGGCTGAGTATTCCCTTTTTCAAGGAATGCAGACTCTGTCCTCCTCTGATGATTCTATATTTGAGCACATCAAATGATCCTTCCAGCGGTGTCCAAGTACACTTACAGACTGTTAATATCATACTGAAACCAGCAAGACAGCTCAGAAGTGAACTTGTAGAGGGCATAAAAGGATTCTTATTAAAAAAAAAAAAAAAAGGAAAAAAAAAATGGTAAAAGAAAAAAAATAATTGATACATTCAGTTTTCAAACTATGATCGTGGGTTTTCTTCTAAAGACATTTTTTCCACATGCTTTCCAAGAGACCAACACATGTATGTTAGACTACATTAAGTGAGATGGAATTTTGTGTAAGTGAAAAGAAATGCTGAATGTAAACAAACTGTTTTACTGTTCACAAAGTCGCTTTTCCTAAAATAAAAAAATACAATAAAAAGAGTAATAATTTCTCATTGTAAACTGGCAGGGGTTTATGAAATAAAAGACTTTGCTTCTTATCAAACTGTTGGTCACTTGTACAGTATATAACACAAATCACACAAGGAAGGTATTATGTATGCAGTAGAAATCTAGAGTTTAGGAAATGAAAATTTTAGATAATATTGTTTTGTCACCCTGTTGGTCAGAAAGACACCTTTCTAGTTTTAACGCATGCAGGCATGTAAATATTTGTCCTGGAGTCACAGTATTACTGAATGAGATCTTAAGCATCTGGTAACAAGTCAGAATTCTGTATCAGCCACTTTTATTTGTATATTGAGCCCTGGTTAGTGCCCTGATTAGTGCACTTTTAAGAATGGACTGTGGCTGAGCAGCAAGTCAAAATGCCAGAAATATTTTTATATGTTAATGTCATATTACGTCAATGTTGCTAAAAAAAGAAAACCTAACAAACACTTGATGTATCAGTCCAATTCCACGTAGAACTGAGTGATACAGTTGAAGTCTATTGTCCCTCCCACCTTGTCTTAGGGATGGGTGGTTATGTGTTACTTTCACTGTCTTTATGAAAGCTACAATATGTGTTTTCACCTTTGTGCTGATAACTGGAAGTAAGCTGCAACACAGTGCTTATTACATTACTAAAAATTATGTTCTTTGCTTTGCGTACTTTTGGGTTACCCCTTTAAAGACTGATTTTGTGAATCAGTGCTATTACTGTAAGTTTTGTGATTATGCTTTCTTCATCTAATGTTTTATGCATATAAAATATTATTTATTACATGGAAACATATCAAAACCTTAAATGTCTAAGATGCCTAACTTAAAGCAAATATTTCTTTAAAAATAGTTCTGATTGGATATTAATATTATTTTGTCAAAAAAAAAATCTAATGTTTTGTAAACTCTAGCACTGAGCTTCTATAGTTTGTAGGTCTTCCTTGCAATACTGGTACACATTTATTTTGTGCGGTTCATATTTACTCCACCACAATCCTTTTTTAACAATAGAAAGTTGTATATACAAGTTCACATCACGGTATTTTTTTTTAAAGAAATATTGAGCAATATTTTTCATTAAATATTGTTACCTAATACTTTGTAGTGGTATTATTTCTAACCATGATTCTTTCATAATTTTCGTAGTTGCTTGAACACGTATGGGATTCTGTACTCCAGTTTTTTCATATGCAGTCTTTAAAGGGTTAACAGCTGTAAAGTTAGATGGACTTGTGGCAAGCTTTTGAATCATTCATATCTGAAAGAGAATTAAAAGCCTACAACTGAAATATGTAGTAGCATCTACCATTGCTCTGCTCCTTGCATAGAGTCACCTGTAAGTAGGTTTAGTAGTTTTACAGTATATACTTTCAAGACCTTTGGGAATGCCTCAGTGTTTGGCTTGGTACATAAATGGAAATGTTAAGGATTAAGGGGGAACCAATTTATAAGCTGGATGTTTAGAAAGAATCTTGCTAAAACCAGTGTAAATATTACAGACCATAAGATGTTACCGTAAGTTGAATTTTTTGCCCCTCTTTAGTTATACAGGTTTTGGGTTGGTATTTTGTTTTTGATTTGGATTTTTTTTTTGCATAGATTATGAAGAAAAGTTGTGCTCATGTTATTGTTTATATGCTTTTGTAATCTTAAAGATATTAATGTCTAGTTGTTCTATATTATAACCACATTTGCGCTCTATGCAAGCCCTTGGAACAGAACATACTCATCTTCATGTAGGACCTATGAAAATTGTCTATTTTTATCTATATATTTAAAGTTTTCTAAAAATGAAAAAAGGTTATTACGAATTTTGTTGTACAAAATCTGTACAAAAATCTGTTTTTACATCATAATGCAAGAATTGGAAATTTTTCTATGGTAGCCTAGTTATTTGAGCCTGGTTTCAATGTGAGAACCACGTTTACTGTTATTGTATTTAATTTTCTTTTCTTTTCAACAATCTGCTAATAAAACTGTCTGAAATCTCCCTGCGACTTTATTTACAGTTCATCTTTATTAAATTTTTCTGAAATGTATAACATCAGAGGAATATTTACTTTCTAATGGGAGGCATCTAAAAACAACATAAGTCAGCTCTTTGTAATGTGAGGAGAACAATGCTGAATGATTTTATTTAACATGCAACTGCTTCTATCTCTAATATGAATTACTGTGGTGAAAAACATCATAAAAGCACACTCTGTGGTTATTGTTTAACAAGCAGATTTTCCATATTTTTTTTTCTTGCCAGCTAAGCAAACTGCCCCCATCTACATGATTTATTTATGTACATTTCTCAGTTTATGAAGCTGTTATTTGTACCTTTTTCCTTTATATTGTGATATTCCCATGATTCTTATTTCACAATGCTTTGTGCTGAATAATGTAAAGTGGACACATTGATGGAACAAAATGTATTATTCCCCTAACTACAAAAATGCAGGCATAATCCAGTTGGTTTTGTCTCAAATCTCCTTCACTTGATAAAACATGTTTGGAAACTTTGTTATCCTAACATATTTTTTAACAAACAGCAAGTATTTAAACGGGCATTTGGAGAAAGGAATAGGTCTGGCTTACCATATCTTTAAGTGGTATTTTGAGGGGAAAAAAAAAAAAGCCTTTTTTTTTTTTCTTAAGGTAAAGGTGTTTATTTAAGAACCAATCAAGAAGTAAGATATTTTTGCTTACAGAAAATTCAAAAGTCAGAGATGTACGATGGATTTTGAGTATTCTCCCTTATTCCCCTGCCTTGCCTGGCCTTGCCACCTCTTCCCTTCCTTTCCAAACCATACCCTCATGAATGCTTCTGCTTTCATTAGGGAGCAAGCTTGTTTGGGAAAGCAGAAGACATTAGCTTTCTTGGAACAGCCCTTTTCATTATCCTGGCATGGCCTGGGGACTGCAAGTGTGAAGCTGACAGGCTTCCTGGGTTCCAGCAGGTTGTTGTTGCTGGCTAGTTGATTAGGATTTTGGCTACCTGGATATAGGGCAATCACAATCTCCCTCCATCTGCATTAAAATGCACTGCATATCTCCGTTAGTAAGCATCCCAGCTATGCCATAGCCAGCGCCCCTGCTTTAAGCTCTGGCACAGTTAAAGCAGGGAAGACGTAATCAAGGCCAGGCTGGATGGGGCTTTGAGCAACCTGGTCTAGTAGGAGGTGCCCCTGCCCATGGCAGGGGGATTGGAACTAGATGATCTTTAAGGTCCCTTCCAACCCAAACCATTCTGTAATTCTGATTCTATGAATCTCTCAGAGCAGCTTGCTCCCAAAACTGACAGTAACAGACTAGCAATCTACCCGGGTGTTTTTCAACAACCCAGGAAATAGTTTTTTTCAGCAGGAAGGAGCCTGCCATCACATGAGTTCTACCCTATCTCCATTAATACGTCATTGCTTTGTCTGTTCACAGTAGCTGGGATTTAACAGGGCTGAGGTTGGACGGGCCAATAGCGAGTCAGATGCTGGTACTCCTTGTTACAGTAAAAATAAGTTCTTCAAAGCTCAGGTCAGAATCAAGAAGAGGTCGCCCTAAACATATCTTGCCTATAATAGTAGTAGGTTATGGTCAGATCTGAAGAACCGCAGAGTCAGAAGCTAGACACCTAAAGTTTTAGGAAAATCCTTGAGGAACTGACAGAATGAACTGAGAAATATTTTTTTTTTCTATGGAAAGAGATTTATGGTTGGATTTTCACCTGAAAGATAAACCTCTTATTTGTTGAAGGTGCTATAAATTCTTGAAAATTGCTTAATTTGTTATTTGCTTACATGTTATTTGACACAAGACTGTGCAATAAACAAAGCCTGAGGCCAAGATTTTCAAGCGTGACTGCTGATTACAGGTACTTCCAGTTTTGTTGGCCAAACTTCAGACATTTTCGATGACTTTCATAAAATAAAATGTTCTAGCTCAAGGGTTCTGTGAAACTTACTCTTCAGTTGCTGCTGTCTATCTCATCCACATGATACTGAAGAATTTATTAGTGTGCCTTTGCTGAGCAGGAGCTTACCCTGATCAGTGACGATGTTTCTAAGACCATTTCAAGCAGAAGCGGCTTCTGTAAAAAGCTTCATTTTCAAAGGGAGAGAAAATAAAGACTTGCTGAAATTCAAGCTCTTAAAAGGAATCAAGGTAGAAATAAAAAAAAATATAGGCATTCAGAGTACTTGGAAGCTTTGCAAATGTTCACCCAAAGGTCAAAGACTGCTAAGCAATTTGGGAGAAATTGCACATAATCTGTGGATAAATATGATTTCTTCTGCCAAGTTATAGTAGTAATGGTTGTCATAGTCCAGTGATTTGGTTAATTGATCCTCTAAATTTGGATCATAAAGACAGAGCCAGATTCAACTTGCTGTGTAGAGCAAAAGCAAAAGAAGGAACAGATACCAAATGGAACAAAGGAAACTGGATATAAGGGGGGGGGATCAAAATGAGAGTGATGAAGCACTGGAACAGTCTTCTCAGAGAAGCTGTGGGATGTCCATCTCCAGAGATTTTCAAACCTGAGCTGAGCAAGGCCCTGAGAAACCTGATCTAACCTTGCCCAGTTTAAAAGAGGTTAGCCTAGTTGACCTTCAGAGGTCTCTTCCAACCTCGGAGTCTTATGGTTCTAGAACTACAAAACTTAGACATGTGATGCCCTTACAGGCATAACACTTTCCAGATTAGCAAGAAGCAAAATTTTATCCTATAAATAGCAGTTATCAGATCTAGAATAGAAATTGCTGGGATATATTTAAGGATTCACAGCTTTTTGATCTTCCATATCAGGAGGCCAGAAGAATGAGCTGCCCTAACAGCAAGATGTAAAAGATACAGAAAGTGAATACAGAGAGGATTTTAAAAGCACCTATTCTAGTACAGATATAGTTCATTTAAATAATAAGAATGGAAGCTGCCAATCAGTTCTCAGATGAATTTCTAGCAATAAATAAATAAATAAATGACAAAGTGCGCAAATAATCCTTCCAATAACAAAATCAACATCTTTTGGGCATAAAGAAAGTAAATGGATTTAGAGTGAACTTTCCCATTCATTTTTTATTGAGTACACTGGCCAGACAGTCTGAGGGAAAACTGGAAATGATGAGCTGGAACAGATACCCCTTTTAAAATACACTTCCTTTATTTTTTCAAATGGCTTTCTTGAAACTGGTTCATGCTGCAAGGCAACCAACTATTTTGTAATTCTATAGATTTTTCCCGCTCTGAGGTACAGAGGACTTTGAAACAATTAGGCTTGGCTTCTCTGTCAAGTGGGTGTTATCACAGGTTGGGAAGTTAAGGTATGGAAAAGTTAAACTTGACATTTTAAAACTGGAGAGACAAAAGGAGCATCTTTGAGCTTCACTATCTATGAAGTTGTATCATATTACATTTAGCTAGGAATCAGTGCTTAAGGACTTTGCAAGTTAAAAAATGATTTTGTTTTGGATTAGTGGATGAGTCACAAAATAGGGGGAAGAAAAGGAAAGCTGTTAGGAAGGCAGGCTAAGAGAATGATGCTGCAACAGAGTTTTGAATAAAACAGGGATGGTAGAAAAGAGATTTCAGCTGTCAAGGTGGAAGTAAATAGTGATGTGTCCTGGTTTGAGGTAAAACAGAACTAATTTTCTGTTCAGTAATTTTACTTTTTTAGCTGGGCCTCTTCTAACTAACTAAACTCTGAAATTAACAGCATATTTTTCAGAAACTGTCTGGTCTTACAGTGATAGGACCCGATTATACCAAAGAATGGTATGCAGAGAGGCCTTTGCCTTTACTTACTGCTGTAACAGCCAAGGTCAGGTAAATTTGTTATTTGCCCCGTTGGAGGGTCAGAAGTGGAAAAGCATAGAGGGGTCGCGCCTGCAGGGAGGAGCGGACAGGACAGGTGACCCAAAACTGCACACCAGGGTATCCCCTCCCATCCGCATCATGCTCAGTATAAAAGCTGAGGGATCAAAGGGTCAACTCTCTTCCTTCAATGGCCGACGTCCAAGGAGGACCCTGTCTGTTCATCTGCCTTTGATCCCGATCCGAGCGTTCCTGACTCCAGATCTGGAATCCAGCTCCTGTCCATCACTGAGTCCAGCCTGGGACTTTCGCCTGCACCTGCTGAAGATGCGATCGTCATCTGGGAGCTTGATACGGTTTTGTATATACTGCAGACTTTTGTTTACTTTTTTTCTAAACTCATAAATCTCTTATATCTCTTCCTCTCCTCTCCTTTTCTTAGAGGGGGGAGGGAGGGGCCATCTACCTGCACCTGCTGAAGATGCGATCGTCATCTGGGAGCTTGATACGGTTTTGTATATACTGCAGACTTTTGTTTACTTTTTTTCTAAACTCATAAATCTCTTATATCTCTTCCTCTCCTCTCCTTTTCTTAGAGGGGGGAGGGAGGGGCCATCTGTCATTCTGATTCGTCAATCTGGTCAAAACCACGACATGATGCAATAAGGAGAAGCTGGATTCTAAAGGAACTTATTTAGAAAGATCTGGTAAGATATAGATGCAGTAAACAAACTCATTTGGCAGGCTGCTGGGCAAGCAGACATTGTTTTCAATTCCATTCAGAAGCAACTAATAACCATTTGGCTTCTGTTCACTGTGTCCAAAGTGATGCTACAGAATCTGGCTTTTCAGTGATGGAATGATATATTGGAAACCAGAAATAAGTTTCCACATGGATCTCTTGAACAATCTGAACTCAATTTAACAATTGAAGAAGACAGAGATAAAGTATTACCTTCTTTGTGAGCTGATCAATAACAAGCACACCTCTGGGAAACAGATGCTAGTATTACCCTTTGAAACCATTTCAGTGTCGGAAGCTGAACAAGTTCCCAGGCCACCTTACACAGAACTTACAGAGGCAGTAAATAATAATAAGAAAAAGCTCTAATTCTCAGTTTCTTCCAGGTGAGATCTTATCCCATCAGCCTATTATCTCAAACCTCTACAGCACTGTAGGTGTATATACATGGCATCAGGTAAGAAGGTAAGATTCAAGTGGTGAATTAAGGATTGAAAACAAAATTCACTGTGAAAAGTGAAAGTAAGCTATAAACAAACATGGAGGAAAAAAGATAAATTAAAATGATTATAGTACAAAATTAGTGCATGGATTTCAGAATTCAAAATGCCTAAAAAAAAACTACAGCAGCCTCCACATGCTTAATTCAAACCCATAATAAATAATCTCCCTTTTTGAAGTATGTGAAGTTTGTGAAAAGTTTCCACAACTGCCCTGAAATCTCCTTGAGTGCTAATAATGATATTTCAGTTCCCCTTTGAAGCGCCTAGATGCCTAGCTCTGGCATAAGTTCCTCCTGGAAGCCAAAGCTGAACAATGTGATGCAGCATGCTCAGAAACTTCACCATATAACCCAGCAGAATCATTGAAAAGAAGGAAATAAGCAGCTGCTGGTCACAACTATTTCCACAGTTCCACAACCCAAGAGTCTAATACCCCCTGTACCCTACTACTGGGCTGAACAACGTGGTTTTGCTCTTGTGCTCTTTTTGCTCCCGTTCCTTTTAGCAATTCACGTCAGAAGTGGACAGCCCCGGGCATCCTGTAGATCCCATCTCTTAAAAGCACACTAGAGGTGTGTCTACATTAGCAACTTTACTTGCAGAAAGGAGGTTCTCTGTGGCATGAATTTGCCTTGCATCTGTGCTTGTGGTGTGCCCCCAAGCTCCTAAGGTAGTTTCTTTTCCTGGTGGAACATAGTCATGCAAAAGGATATAATCTAGATTTTGCCGCTTGCCCTCAGCAATTGGTCTTCTGTACAAGCCTAGGGGCGGCAACTGGTGGAAACTTCATTGCTGGTAATGTCATGGTGGGGTTGTGCAGTCCTAGAACTGCAGCAGACTGCATCACGTTATACTGTGGTCCTTCCCTCTTTGTGCCACAGTAATCATCAATGGAAGCACTCTCAATAACTGGAACTGCTGGCCTCTGGAATGATTGCCTCCAAAAGGTCAAATAAACCCTGCTGATGTTCAGGTTTGAGATGGAGCTGGTAAATCAGAGCTGGCAGGTGGGGCTTTGGCCCCACCTCAAAGGTGAGGCTTTTGAACAGGCAGTGAGAGGACTGAGGGTGACATCAAACAAAGTGGTCAATAACAGTATCAGGGACATTTTGCATTGCCATACTTCATCTTCTTATTATATACTATGTTTAAACTAATCAATAAAATATTTATTGATTCATAAGAGTTTTTCCTTTTTTTAACTGCCAGGTGCTACTTGAGTAGAGAAGGATCATGATAATAATGACTAGTGCTTTTACTTTTACTTTACTAAGCCACTATCAGCATACGTAAAGATTATATTTGGGACTCTGTGAAGAGTGTATTTTGTTGTGAGAACAATAGTAGGCACTTATGTTAGGACTCCTAATGACCCTGGACCCTCTTATTATACTTGCATTGGTAGATGAGTTGTACAATGCATTTTTCTAATAGTCTGTAGTTGTGTGTTATATTGAAGTTTAAGAATACTTCAGCCTTTTAACAAATGCTGCATATTCTTCTAAGTGGTGGTCATTAAAGAGAGTGCCACTATATCATTCCATTGTATTTAATTTGGGGCAGAAAGAGCAAACTATATTTTGAGCAAGGTTTATTCCTTTTTCAATTTAAGTAATTTCTTTTCTAATCTCAGCCGGCCAAGTTCAATTTAAATTATTGTGTGAATTGTTGGTGAGGTGCTTTTATTTGAATCAGCGAGCATTTGGCCACGGCAAATGAGCTTCTGGCAAACAAGAACATTAGTACCAGGGGACATCTTTGAATACTGCTGTTTGCTTTTGTGCACTGTGAAGAGTTTTCGGTGT